ACCACCAACATAAGCTCTCCCACTGCCTCCAGTGGCGTTGTAGCTGGTCTTCATCAAAACTCCGAAAGACTTGAGTACTGTAAGAACTTGACAGTCGACATGGTGTGTAATTAGATGAACCACGTTGTCAATAGATGGTGAAAAAGGAGCCCCCTTGCAGTTATGGGGAGAACGGCTCCTCTGATGTGAATGGCTTCATAGGTGTAGATTGGTATAAAGGTTGGTATACAGGTCAGATACAAGGCTGCCAGGATGCCTTGGCGTAAGAGTGCAGAGGCACCCCCTACCGACTCAAGGGCTAGGCTACGCCAAGGCACTGTCGGCATAGCTCTCACACAGCTATGGTGCCTAGTAGGGTAGGTGCCACGTGGGAAAGATGAAAACCCGACGCTCAAACGCAGCACCTACTCAGCCGCGACTAGGGACGACCGGGCGCCGCCACCGCCGCTATCGCCGCTGTGTTAGCGCACTCTCGCACGGCCCCAGATACCGATACAAACAACTTTAGCTCCCGAGTCATCCTCGAATTCCCAACCAAACTCGAGTAAAAAATCCAAAAGTCTAAAAAAGGTAATATTGTCATAATCAGGGTTACAAGCCCGCACATACGGAGGCCCCACGCGAACCTCCGTACGTTCGAGCGTTCGGGGTCCTGTTCGAGGTCCGAACCTGAAGGGGTTCGGCCCCCAAAAAACTTTTTTTCTGATTTTTTTTTTGTGAGTTCACTATGAAGTGAGGTAAAATCTCCAAAGATAGTGGTGTCAAAATGCGCTCGTCCACTCACTATTTTGTTTTTTTTTACTTCTTACCTACGTTACCGAACGTACACGAACGGGGCCTTTCCGTACGAAACGTACAGGTAATATCTATACGGGAACCTGTACGCCCCCGTACGGCTCCGTACGAAGAAAAAAAAAAGTCGTCAAAAAAATCCGAAAGACAAAACTATGTGCTGCAGCATCACAAAACAAGCAACATTTGGCTGAGCACCATCTGCAGATTCTTATTAGAATTTGAGAAAAAAAATAAAAACCATTAAAAAAAAAAAAAGTCGTACGGGCCCTAGAGTAAGAGTAGCGTACAAGAAATGAGTACAACTTGTACACGTACGGTGGTGAGTATAACTTGTACTCGTGCGGGGGTGAGTACAAGTCGCAACCTAGCTTTTTACTTTTTGTTTTCACTTTATTTCGGGCCCTAAACAATTTTATTATTCTTGGAAAAGATTTTCAGGAGTTTTGCATCATGTGAGTACACATCTGTAAATTTTCAGGGCATTTGGCTATGCAAAAAAAAAAAAAAAAAAGCGCCAAACATGAGAGTGTCAAAAACGGGCTTGCGCACTCTCTTTTTATTTTATTCTTATTTTTCTTATTTGTATTTGTTTTCCGTATTTTATTTTTATTTCAAATTTGGTAAGGAATTTGGATATAGTGCTCAGGCAAATGTTGTTTATTTCATTTTTCTGCATAACATATGTTTTTTTCAGTTTTTTTTTTTGGGTCCGCATTCGGTCCGTACACATCCCCAAAGGGTCCCGTACGTTCGGGCGTTCGCCCCATCGCGAACGTCAGCCACCGTGGTCACAATTATTGAAAAACTATACTTTTGTTTTTTTTTTAATTCTTTTAAACCACTCGTACCTCCACCACTGTTGTGAAACGGTATTCACCAATTCGCAGTAGCTGATGCAGATCCCAGGGCTCGATCCCTAGCCCCCCAGCTTATCTGTGTACAGTACCCGTGTCGACCCTTGAACCCGTGACCTGTGTATTTGTAACAGTGGTAGACTGTCGTAGGGTCCAGAGGTCGCCGGGGTTCGATCTGTAGACCTGCCGAGTAGGAGTCTTAGTCAGGTCTAGAAGTCGTAGCTGTGGCCTTCTCGAAGAGTCAGGGTCGTAGCTGCTATAGTCTAGAAGGGTCAAAGTCGTAGCTGCTACAGTCACGAAAGGCCAAGTCTACGGCCTTCCGGAAGGTCTCAGTAGTGGCCTTTCGAAGTTGCCCACGTTTAGACTGAGGCAAGTGGGCAAGTGGCGAGGCAAGTGGTGGAGTCTACCCGTGCTGAGTCAGCAGTCCCAGTCCCCAGTTAGTCCTGGTCCAATCAAGCAAGTACCGCATGGGACGGGCATGGGAAAGGGCCAGACCAACGAGCTGCAGAAGTATAAATAAAGAGGCAGCGCCCAGCCATTCATTCATTCCTGCGTGAGCCATGCGGAAGCGTTGCCACAGCGACTTGTGCAAGGAGGTCTGCAGTGAACCGAAGACGAAGTGGGCAGAGAGACGGAGCTTAGCCATAGCGAAAGGGTAGAGGCGGCCATAGCCGCCATAGCTGTAATTAGTGTTCAGTGTGTGTGTGTGTGAGTGTTCAGAGAGACGCATGTTGGATATCCAGGGTGATCCACTGTACGCGAACAGAGAGTTGTATGGGCGCTATATCGCCATAGCCATTGGAAGTGAACCCGTATCTGGGTTGCCATATCTCTGAGTACTGAGTGGGCGCATGTCGCCAGTTTGCTGCGCTACTGTTTGCATGCATGTAAAGTGTGAATGAAAGCGAGTCTGATTGCAGTTGGGAAATTACGATGTTTTGCCAATTCCCGAAGTTATCGAGAGTGGGACACAGGGTCGGCACTGTCCCATAAATCAGATTTTTACATTGCCCGCGAGTGAAAGATAAATGAAAAAAGGAAAATGCTACCTCTACTGCAATGATGTCGGGCGGGGTAATGTTGGAGGCCGTGCTCAGAGTCTTCCTCCACAGAATGCACCTCACCGGTAAGACGGTCACATTCTAGATATTGCTGTTTTCTTTTTTTTCTTGCTCGTGTGTTTCTTATAAGTCCCCTGCCAATGAGGCCGGGGGGAATCTGTGAATTGCTCAAGCCGTCCGTGATCTGCTCAAGCTGTGTTTTGTCCGAGGACTGTAACACTTATCACACCGGTACTAAGGGGAATGTATCCAGCCATTTTCACGGTCAGATCCGTGTGCCCGTTTTTTGCCCCTTCTATTCTCTTTCTCGAATCTGACAACCTGGCCACGGGGCTGAGATCCCTCATTGAGGGCACACTCATACTACCACTTCCAAGAATGTATACAACTGCAATCACGACCAAAGCTTTGTTTCGTTTTTTTCTTTTTTCTTTTTTTCTGAGTTCACGGCCGCAACTTTTCTTCTTCGTTTTTTTTTTTGTTTCTTCTTTCCGTGAGAGTACCGGAAAGAAAACGGAGTGGTACCCACGGCAAACTCGGAGCGCAGTGAAATTCAGGGTCAGCAAAAACAGGCTCGGAGATACTAGTGGTTTAAGGGATAACTTGCAAAATACCCCCATACGTTGAGATATATGCCAAAATGCTCCTAAATGATGTGGGTAGAGCGGAATGCCCTTTTGGGCCGAAAACTTTTTGTTGTACACCTGTCAGGTGGGTGTGCAACTTTGCAATCTGGACCTCCCCGTTTGGGCCTTGGCCTTTTGCAATAGCACCTAGAAAAAGTTGGCAAGTATTGGGGCATTTTGCAAAGTTGGACAGTACCCGGTAGGGGTATACTGCAAAAATGGGGGTCCAACAGACGTAGGGATATTTCACAAAATATATTTTTGTCAGAGGGGTATTCCGCTCTACCCACATCTTTTAGGGGCATTTTGGAATATATCTCAACTTATAGGGGTATTTTGCAACTTATCCCTTCTTTTAAAGTTTTCTTTAAGGTTGTTGATTTTTAAATCGAGCTTGGTTGGGAATTCGGGTATGACTACCAGGTGTAAAACTGACAAGGCAAAAGTTGTTTCTATTCTTATTCTGCACAACATACTTTTTTTTTCAGACTTTTTTTTTTTTTTTTTAAACGTACGCATGCGCGCGATTTTGGGTTCGTACGTGTACTCCGGAATACGTATGCGTACGCGCACGGGTTACTACCCAGGTTCTACGGTGCTTTTCGTCATCAGCGTCGGCAGGACTTTCTTCAAGGAGGCGTTGGGACTACGTTGCGGCAGGCTGCACCTCGTTCGGTGGGGTTATGTTGATGAAGATGTGTGGCGTTGGTGTTTTTTTTTTCGCAGCATTATGCTGCCAACATTGCGGCACGTCTGACAGTCGTGTTTAGTAGGGTTATGCTGCCGAAATTTTGGCGCGGCAACGACACCAATTTCTGGAGGGGAGGTGCTGCTCGGCGACAGTGACATTTTCCAATGGGAATACTGGCAGTTTTTTTTTTTATGGAGGTGTGCTGCTGGTTTGAGGATGCAGTATTTGCAGTTTTGAGCAAGGGATTATGTTGGTACCGGCACAACTACGTTGCATGACATTATTTTTTTAGGAATGCAGCAGGTGTGATCTGCAGCTTGACACTTGCTTGGTGGCATGTGTGGTGGGCCATGCTGTTTCGGCACTCGTAAATAGGATGGGATGCGCGCAGCAGGTTCTTTTTTTTGGGGGGGGGGACACCACGTGACGTGGCGCGCAGACTGGTCGGACCAGTTGGGACAAGCGGCCAGCGCACTGATCATGGGGGCACTTGTCACTTGTGGTTTTGATGTCCGGGGAGTATTATTTTATGAGTGTGTGACGCGAGCGGTTTCAGCGGTTGGGGCCATCCGGTGCTGCGGCAGTAGCGCAGGACCGCTTGGGACTGCCTGGGGCCAATTGGGACCAATGCGGGACACATGTTTTTTTGGAAACGTGTGTGACTTGCAAACCCCACACTTGGAACTGTCGGGTGTGGGACGCGCTAGTGGGAGGTGGATTGGAATTAGTGGTCGGCTTGGGCTTTGCCTTGGAATCGTGGTTCTTTTTCGGCAGCTCTTATTTTTTGTGCTTGGCTTTCTTGAGCGAGTTGGGGCGCTTCAGCACTACTTCACTCAAGGTCTGTTGAATGACTCAGATTCCCCTTCACACCTGCTTGCACCCACACTTTGGCTGACTCTATTTTCTCAGAGTGCTCAAAAGGAAAAGGTAAACTGAAGTTTGGATGGTCTTGCATGTGAGAAGTGGGATCTGACTTGGGTATGCGGTTTTGTTGGATCCTTTTGGGCTTGTCGTTTGCATTATGTGCAGGTAGGTAACAGGGTGCATGTAGAAGGGAGATTGATTGTAGCTATTGGGCTAATGAAAAGGATCGTCTTTCATTCTACCTTTCACCTGCCGCATGTCAAATGGACTTGCGTTTTGAAAAGGGTAAATTCAACGGGCGTCGTAAAAAAAACTCGCGACCTACGTTGGCACTTGTATGCACCCTTGTACCAGTACGAGTCGTACTCCTGTACTCGTACGCTAGGGGCCCGTACGACCTTTTTTTTTTTTTTTAATCCGGTATTGTTTTTTCTCCTTATCAAATTATAATAAGAATTTGCAGATGATGCTCAGCCAAATGTTGCTTTTTTTGTGTTGTTGCAGCACATATTGTTTTTTCAGATTTTTTTGATAACTTTTTTTTTCCCGTACAGGAACGTACAAGACGAACAGGTTCCCATACAGGTTCCCGTACAGATACTACCTGTACATTTCGCACGGAAAGGCCCTGTATGTGTACGTTCGGTAACGCAGCTTGCAACAATAGAAAAAAAAAACACAAAGCCAATTGGACTTTGCGCTTTCTCCAAGGCAACCCATTCTTTCTCAAATGACCCAACTTTGTTTGTACCCATCAAAATGAGTCTCTTTCTCTGCCTCCGAAGACTCTATTTCGTCTCAGCTACTTTTGCAAGGAAGGAAGGGATGGACAATTCCACTCGGAGTCTGAGGACTCCCCTCACTCTAGGAAGCATATGGGGCAGGGGTTCGTTGCTTTAGGAGTCGATCCTGTTATCGACTAGAGTGGACCGTTTTCACGAGGGGTACTTTGCCAGTTCGATGGAGACGGCCCGACTTTTAAGATCCAAGTCTTGTGCTCGAGCGAGGAGGAGTATCACAGACCACTTCCTAGAGGTTTGGACGAGGGACAACTAAGGAGGGATGCCAACTCTTCCCTAATCACGAGCAAGAGGGGGCTGGCTTAGCAACCTTACAGGTGGCCGCCTTAGATGCCACCGCTGAATGGGAGACCGGTGCCTCAAGAAGTGCGGACCCGGGGTAGATAAATGAGGTGGCAACACTCTTTGGGCAAACGAAACGACTATGGCAATGCTTCGAGTGTCATTATGATGAAGGTGGGTACATCATCATTCAAGGAACAGGAAGAGTAATTATTGCCTAGGAGGACAAGGCATCCAACAAAACCTCTAGTCGACCCTCTACCTCGAGAAGGTCGTACAGGTTGTTGAAAAAATGATGGAATCGCGGATCTGAACTTAGGCTGGAAGTCAAATCTTTCGTCCATCAGCAATGACGCCAGTTATTTTCAACAAACTAAAATACAGCCTCGATGGATGGTTCTTTCTACAATTCCTATACTCCCAGCAACAGAATTTACTTGCAGATGTCATTCATGTCAGGGTTTGGAAGATGTGTCGACGAGCCTACCCATCCGTCAGGCATCAGGTTCCTGAGATTGTCGGTTCGCGAGTGGCCCTCGCTCTCAAAAAACGAAGCTTAGGTCTCTTCGATAATGTAGGGCTGGAAAGGAATGACTTCGACAATGTCAGGTTCCTGACATTGTCGGTTCGCGGGTGGCCCTCGCTCGCAAGAACCCAATCCTGGTCGGCTCACATATTGGCATAGCGTTCTCCCAAATGCGACCTGATTTGATCTTGTGTGAATGAATTTGACACGTATTAGTTCTTTTGATTGTGTTCTCCCAACAATATCTCATTGTCGATGATATGGATGCCCGATTGTTGCAAGACTATCTCTCGGCGTAGATATGTTTTCTATTGACTATGATTGATCTATCATTAAATTGTGAAGTTATCATGGTAACCTTTTTTTTGGATTTTTGGATTGTATCTAAGAGACTAGGATTGCTTGTGGGTTTCACGTTTGGTTGAGATCGTCGTAGTCGACTGACATCCGCTTCGTAACTGGGAGATCAGCGCCCTAGGGAAATAACAATGTCCAGGTCCAATGGACGTTCTAACAGTGCATGCCTATACTGCAGCAGAACGAGCAAAGCCCTCGGCTGGCCTACCTCTGTGATTGCATGTAAAAGCTTTCGTACGTGGATCAATAGCTCGGTGGGGATACGCCCCTAAAAGTGGTGACAGCCCCTTAGGGAAGATTAGTTGTGCCTCGTGGAAACCTGTCCTGTCGTAGGGGAACGGTGAGAGGTACGATTGGCGCACCCGGCTAGGGCGGCAAGGTGACAGCGCGATCTCGACCGTCTCAGGGGTTCGCTGCATGACTTACGCATTGGTGTCTCTTGTTTTCTGTAACTCCTGCGTGACGTGGCCAAGAGGGCTCTCGCCTTTTGCGAAAAAGGCTGGATCCGATGCGCTCGACGACGGGTCCAGAAATTTGAGCGTCTGCAATTTTCCAAACGTGCATCTATTAGGTGTTTGGATCTGTCTCTATCAGTTGCCCTTCATAACCATGCTTCAAACATTAGATAGCCAGATAGGGTCGGAGCTCGACAGTCAACGTTGAGCCATACTCTCCTGTTGTCTGATGTCACTTGAAGAACAAGAAAACCTAGATTTCCACCAGACCCCAAAGTCGACTGCAAACATCCACCATCGGTGTCATGGCTTCTCTATGGCCAGCCCACCAGCAATTGGATGCAGAACATCCATACCCAGCGACAATCGCGACACTTAACACACAATACTTATGCAACCAACCACCCTCTCAGCATCCCGACATATCCCACCCATCCACCCATCCAACCAGTTTGATCCCACAACCCTTCTCATCCCACAGCCAGCCTGAGTGATCCTGATTTGTGCATTCCTGGTAGCAAATCTTCGCAGTGGCAAGAGGGAAAGTTGCATGGTTAGTGTTACCTGGAGGGAGCATCGTTGAACTGGAACAAGCCCAAAATTGCCGAACTATTCCAACTCCAAGAATAGTGAACCTTATGCCTAGGGAGAGCATAGCATTTGGGGGCACTTGTGCACCGTAGACTGCAGAGCAGCCCTGCAGCCTGGAGATGTAGCCATAGATGGGCCTTTGATCATGACAGCAGTGTGTTTGGGAGAGAGGAAGTCAGAGCAAGGTGATTCAAGAGGGTCATTGCTTTGGGCATATCGAGATATTCTCACTCATTCCTCTGTAGCATTGTGCTCGGCTGGTGTTCTTACCTAAGATAAATCCACATGGATGCATTCACTTTCTGGCACCTAAGCTCTCATAAATGGCCTGTCTTACCTGAAAGTTGTACTGCTTGTTCGCCTGATCCACGAAGTACTCCTGCAAGCCAGATTTCCCGTAACCAGGAAGCTCCAATGTGACTAACCTTGAACTTGCCGGAACCCTATCCAAATCTGCTCCAAGAGTGACAAAGTCGCAGACCAGTTTATGCTTACCTCCATAGATGCGGGTGAACCTGATCCAAAAGGTAAAAACAATCACAACCACAGTCAACATTACCATACCACACTTCCGCTGCCCCGGTTTCATGTCATGCAGTTGTTCTGTTATCAATTTTTCCCTTTTGTTTCCTTTTTCTCTTTCTTTTCTTTTTTTCCCTTTTGCGTTTTTCCTCTTATGGGATGGGGATAGCCCCTAACATTATTGTATCGATCTGATTCCGGCAGGATGTCGAACTCGTGATCTCTTTGCCGACAGGAGCATGTGTGTGCCATTCAGCCACATGGGCTTGATGGCAACTCCCATTTGCTTTGCTCTCTTATAAGCTAGCTTTTTATGCTTGGGGGAGTTTGTTCCGATTTGCCTTACTTCAAACAATTTCAACACCCATCATTCATGCAAATTAAAAGCGAATCAAGATAGATAGAAACCTTCCCTTGTATTGGAGAATCACACCAGCACGCTTGATGGAAAAGATGAATATTTATGTCAACTTATGTGCCTGGCTTCCCCGAGCAGCCTGCAACAAAGGGCACTGAAAACAACACAGTATAGGGCCGGAACACATGGCTGTGGCTGCACCCGGGCTTTCCTTCAGCAGATAAATAGCAGTGCTTCTCCTCCCATCATGCAAAATCTTACTAATGGGAAATGGAAATGGAAACTGCTGCTACCTTGTTACTTCTGAAAGTGTTTTGGCCTGGGCCTACAGGCGTCCTACCAGACTCTGGCCTAGAATAATCCACGAGTCTAAGCCCTATGTGTCTACAGGCACCCAACAGAGTCTCCACTATTAGGTCTCAGATTAGAATCTGGCCAAGCAGCCAACAAACAATACCGCAAAGACAGAAACAACTCATACTTACCTCGTGCTTGGGCCAGGTCTCGGGTCCGAATCCCGCCTGAGACCAACACTCCCTCCACTTCGGTTTAAAGCACACTTGCTACCAACTCTAGACAGATCAAGATTGGTACTTGGTCAAAAGTTGTAAGCACACTTGGAAAACGTCATCACTGTTTGATTGACCGTCTGCCACAATTCTTCTCACTGAGACACATTTGTCCTGAAGCTATCCGTGCCATCCAAGATGGTTTGCAGCAATGCACGCTTTTGTCATTGCGGTCTGGATTCACTGATCTAAGATTATTTTACATTGGATCCCCTTATGCTCAGGAGATTGATATTTCAGGGTGTTTTCACAGGGTATTTCGTTTCAGAAGTTCTTGGATTGAACCGGCCCTGTTTCTTTTGACAGATTATTCCAACATTTGCAGCCGGGCGGGAGAGGGGGATAATGTCAACATTCTGGGCTTGATCACTGGACCTAAGGCTGGGTCGCGGACAGTTATTTTTCTGGCATGTCTTTTTTTTTTTTTTTGAAAGATGAGAAAAACGGGCCCAGTGCCCAAGGCTGATATTACCAAAGAACATATCGAGGCCGGGGTCCTCACAGTCTACCCGGAGTAACCGAGCCGAAATTGCTGAGAACCGGGCTCAGCGTCCCTCATGTGATGATGTAACTGATTGTGATAATGGTGTTACCAATGATGATGATGATTGATATTTGTAAAAGACCGTAAACCCACAGTAACTCCTAGCCTTCCTTGCGCCAAAAACATAGTAACTTGGAGACAAATACGACCCTAACCCAAGTCAGCCATAGCTGATCCCTTCTCGCCACCTAGCAGCCCCCCCCAGTTCGTCCTTAGATTGCCTTCCTCCCTCGGCAACCCCAGATCTGTCTACAAGGCCTCACGCTCCCGTGCAGTACAGGGCAAAGCCCCAGCTCCGGCCAGCGTCGTCCTGGCATCGACCAACCAGGGGCACAGAACAGAGCAGCTCTGCGGATGTCAGTCCGGATTCGATCATTTCTGAGCTCCTATACGCCGGATGTAAACGAAGGCTAGTTGCTACAAACATAACATCAGGAACTTATTATGATTGGATTAAGATTGAGAATAGGGATAAACCACCAGGATCCTAAAGCATGCTCAGACCTCAAATTCCCTAACAAGAACCTTTCCAACATTCCCCAACTTTGTCTCACTCCCTACCGAGCTCTTCCAGGGCCTCATGCCCCCACTACCTGCTGGGATACAGGGCAACACAACTCACCCCAGCTCCGGCCAGCGTCGTCTCAGCAGCGAAGCTTGGTTGTCCCTTAAGATACACCCCCAAAGTATCCCCAGATCTCTCTACCCGGCCTCACGCTCCTGTTTCAACAGGTTACTGGGCAATACCCCAGCACCGGCCTTCGTCGATCTAGCATAGAACAGCCACAGATCTCTGAGTATGACAACTTTACGATAACGTAGGAAAGGTTGATAGACATCTCAGAGACCCAAACATACTTAGGTCCTCCTAACAGCCAAACCTATTCCCCCTGCTCTCCACTTTTACTAAAAAAAACCATCTGAAGAATTCCAGTAATAAAAAATTCGGTGAGTAACAGAAAACCACAAAGCTTTCTCTGAATTACTCCCACGCCCTTGAAGCCCCTCACGATCCTTTCCAAGATTCCCTCTAAGCTGTCTTAACTCTTTGCCGAGCTCATCCAAGTCTCACACCCCCATGCTGCTGGGTCACAGGGCAACGCAACTCACCCCAGCTCCGACCAGCGTCGTCCCGACAACAACCCTTGATTGTTTCGTAGAATGCCTACCCCAAGGAACTCCCAGATTCTACCAGGCCTCACGCTCCTGCATCAGCAGGTTACAGGGCAGCACCCCAGCACCGGCCAGCGTCGTTCTGGCTTCAAACAATCGCAAATCACTAAGTGTAACAGCCTCAAGCCACCTCAGAAAATTTCTAAAGGTCCCCAGAGACAAAAGCAATTCAGACAACCTACCGTACCACCCACCATCCAGCTTCTTCCCCCCCGACGCAGAGAAAGGATTTGTGCCTGAGCGTCAGTCCTCGTACCAGACGCACCCGGTCTCATACCCCCCTTTACTAGAGTGACAGGGCCACACAAACTGCCCCAGTACCGACCTGGCTTGTTCTGACGGAAACAGGAAGTGTCTTCCTCCCTCGACTCCTTCCTTAACTGCAAAGCCCCCCAAGGTTACAGGAACACTGCCCCGGCTACAGCTACGTTGGGCACGGTAGTTATGCTTTCCCTACCTCAGCAAGTTCCAATGGTCTCGAGCTCCACTAGTTACAGAGCCTCTGCTCCAGCACCGACCACTGTTACCCCACCCTACCCTTCTATAGACACACCACCCAAGACCTCAACCCATCCTCTGCCCCGTCCACCGCCCTACTGAAACAACCTCCTCCCACCCACCGAATAGCCTATTGAAAATACAAGAATTATCAAAGATTATCAAAAACTGTCGAAAAACTGTCGAAAAAATCAGAATCATAAAACGTGGATTTTAGATCGAGATTCCGAAATTATCTAGGACGACCCAAATCGAACTCACGTTGAACCAATCGAATATAAGCAAGAAAGCAATTGTGAACGTAATTTTAATCGTAAAATTATCCGAGATTATCTGAGATTATCTGAGATCAGGGATGTTTAAAACCAGACTCAAGCTTATGCAGACTCAAGAACTTGTAAGAAATTTGAGATAAAATTAAGAAACTATTGAGAAATTACTGAGAGAGTATTAGGAAATGAAAATTTATGATCAGAAATCAAAAATTCCGATAACGAAATTAAAAATCGAATTTCAAGTTTGGGAATATCGCTCATCAAAAAGAACGGACGAATGGTAATAAGAATAATATTCCGATGAATGGTAATAAGAATAACGGCCTTACAAATGGTTGGTTGGTTGGTCGTGATAAGGTTAGTACACACAGTATAAGGTGGTGAAGTGACTGTCTAGGCCCACATCCCTATGACTGACATAGCTGTGCCACCTGCGAAGAGTGCAATATATGCCATGACTTGCAGGATATGGTCTGCTTTCATCCGGTCGCTAAAGAAGTCGTTTGCGATGAGGCTAACGAGTCCATTGTAGAGCAAAATCCCTGCGGAAAACGAATCAAAGAACCCGTGAACGAGTAGTGCCGCGGTGGACGACTACTCGTAGGACTTGGAGATCAGGATTCCAATCAGGATACTGGAGGCCATGCTGAGGCTGAAAAAAAGACACATGACGACCAAACTGAGGTTCTTGAAGCGGGCCTGAACCCCGCAGGCACCGAGCGCAATACCTTATGGAACACTAGAGCAATGAGAAGTGGCTGGATCTCACTGCGGTCTGTCAACACGCCTAATGTAATCCCAATGAGTACGGAGTGGCTAGCAATCCCATACTCCAAAATCTCAGCGACAACGATGTTGCGCGTTAACTTCTCGCAATTTTGATGCTGGTGCTCATGGCAATCAACGACAACATCACCTTTTCCTTCAGCGCCGGGGGTCTTACCCATCGCGGTGACGTCTAACATTGCCCCTGCTCCAGAAGCTGTCAGTGCCGTAGATGAGGTGACCTCCTCCAGCTTCATACCATGCTTCCGCTGTATGTGAGTCGTCGCCATGCAGTCGAATACATGCGTGACGAGAGCTGCCAGTGTTGTCATGGCCCCCACCCATGGGAACTTCTGCCAAGGATGCTCAGCCAATCTATCGGACTCAAAGCTGGATAAAGCTTCGGGGAACATGTGCACGAGCGCGGTTGCGACAACTACACCGGCCGAGAAGGCCTTGCCGACCAGCAGCACCCTGCTTTCAAGAGAAAACTGAATTCGTTTCCACTTTGTCAATATTACAGGAATCAGGAACCCCAGCGTCGAAGCAGACATGATGATAAACATCGCCGCAATCCGCAAATCGCGACTGCTGTTATGATCTGTGGAACTTCCTTCCTCCTGGCCATGGCCAACATCCACCCCGACATCCTCGTGCTCGGTCGCTTGACTTCCATGCAACACTCTTCGCGAGATCCCCATCACCATAGCCAGCTCACTTACACCATAGCCACCATCTCCATCCATTGGCACTGCTACTAGCTCTTCTTCAACAAGACGCCGCGATTAGATCCGGCTCAGTATAGGAGCGCGCTTGAAGCAAACACAAGTTGAAGATGGAGTCCGCGATATGTACACGCTGGACTGCGGGCCCCACTGAAACGGTATTCTCCAGTTCGCAGTAGCGAATGCAGATTCCGGGGCTCGATCCCTAGTTCCCCATCTTACCTGTGTACAGTATTGATGTCAACTCGTAGATTTGAACCCGTGACCTGTAGGATCGCCAGTGGTAGGTAAGTCTTCGTAGGTCACTAGGTAGAGGAGATTCGAACCGTAGACCTGTAGGGTAGAAGTCTAGACAGTTCTAAGGTCGTAGCCGTAGACTGCCTGAAGAGTCAAGGTCGTAGCCGCTACTTACCTGAAAGGGCAAAGTCGTAGCTGCTACAGTACCGAAGGGCCAGCGWAGAGGTTTCTAGAACTSGCCTTTCGGRGTTRGCCTGTGTTTAGCAGAGGCAAGTGGTCAAGTGGTGGTAGTCCACCTAGCCCAGTCAGCAGTCCCAGGTAGCCCAGTCCGGTCCAGTCAAGCAAGTACCGTCTGGGACTGTGCACATCATGGGCCAAGGGGATAGAGGGCAGAGCAACGCAGCGCAGAAGTATAAATCAAGAGGCTGCGTCCAGCCATTCATTCATTCCTGCGGATGCCATGCGGAAGCGCTGCCTCAGCAGCTTGTGCGAGGAGGTCTGCAGTGTGCCCGAAGACGAAGTGGGCAGAGAAGCGTAGTGTAGCGATAGGGTAGTGGCACCTAGCGCTGCCATAGCTGTAGCATAGTGTGTGTGTGTGTGTGTTGCGTATGGATACTGAGTGTTGCGTGTGGGACATCCAGGGTGATCCAGAGTGCGAACAGTGAGTTGTGTGGGCGCGCAGTCGCCATAGCCAGTTGGAAGAGAACTCTTATCTGGTCACGATATCTTTGAGTACTGTGTGGGCGCATGTCGCCAGTTGCTGTATCGCTGTTTGCATGCATGACGAAGTGTGAATAAGCCGAGTCTGATTGCACTGGTATCGGAGCAGGTACCCGCTGTTCCACGCGCGCGTCGTATGCAGGG